ACCCGGGTCTACGGCGTGACAAGCGAATGCTTTAACCACTAGGCTACCCAACCGCCCCTCTCAGTGATCTATCATCTCCACACGCAATGTCATTGAATAAGCCCAGGGATGTTGGGAGTTTTCAAAATTTCCTAGTGTCTAGTTCCAGCAGTACATTAGCATGGGCTTTTGTCCTAAACAGTGTACTCCCAGCGAATTGTTATAAAACAGTGGTATCTTCAACAGGCCAGTAATAAATAGTTATAGTGTCCACAAATGATAGTACAACATAATGTACCATATTCGAGGTTATAAGCGCCCAGGGCGCTCTCAAAATTAGAAATAGGGGGCTGTTATTAGAATGTATTTTTGGTGATAAAAAAAAACAGAGTTGAAAGATCGTAAATTTCGTGGTTTATGCTGACAAATTGAGTTGATACAAAAGAAAAGTCTGGAGTATTATACACGAATAATTAAGTCTTGTGTACATTTATCCATCGGAAGGGGTGCTAATTGGGATTGTTCTAATTGGTTGCTTATTATGGGGAATACGGTATATGATTTATATACATACAGTACAGCTGATCAGCAACAGACAGCTGTCAGCCCTAGTTGTTTAACAGATATCAAATTCTGCTCTGGTATGACTGCGAAGCTGATCAAACAGCAGTCAGCACTATTACAGCAATATCATGGCAAGCTGTAAATTCCCCATCTGGAGGAGATAAGACTGATGGAAATAGTCTGTTCAGTGGGCCATGAAGCTGAAGCAAGAGACATCAGCCAGATAACCAAGTTCTCCTGCATCAATCCTAATGACATATTTTGGCACCGGGGACCATTCTGCTCTGGAATTCTGATGTAATGCTAGGGAGTGAATATTCTTTTACACCACACTCAGCAATATTCCATCTATATTCTTGTTGTTAAAAGCCAATAGAGTGCCCTTTTAACTTGACTTTTGCATTCTTAAATTTGAGCCGAAGTTACTACGAAAACTATATTGAAAAACTAATCCAATAATGCAGCTTGTACACTGGCATTTATGGTTGAAAAGGGACAAGGGGAGGTGTTTGTCCATGACAAGGAGTGAGTGAGTTTTGTTAACGCCACTTTTAACAGTATTCCAGTTATATCACAGCGTGTCAGAATAATGTGGGAGGAAAGCCCGAGGTGATGCAGGTCTCGGATGTTTTACCACTTCGGTGAAACCCACGAGCACGGGTATGGTGCTGACAAACCTAGAAACATAATCATGCGAACCGGGATTCAAAGCCAGTCATAAGTTTCTGTGTGCCCAAAGGATGCAACTCTGCACAGCGAATCTTGGCGCCTTTGACGACTGAGCCACCCGTTCCCCCTCCACAACAAGGAGCAACAATATTGCACTTATACTGCAACGTACATGAACCTGTGTTTGCCCACTCACCCATGCAACTTTTGAACATGGATTCCCACTCAGACACAGTATACTCAATCTGAGCTGACCAGTCCTTGTTTTAGCCCCTGAATGTAGAGAGCCAGGCAGGGTAACAAAAAGGACCATCTTTTTAAGGAGATCCAACCACCAACCTTCCACTCTCCAGGCAGATGATCTATCCACTAGCCCACTGTTAGGATAAACAGAATAGATTCATAAAAAACAAGAGACAAAATGAAGAAATATTATTTATTGCCTATTGGGTTTACAAAATGCATTAAAAACATGATATCAAAGAGATCTAAATAAATATAGTTCCACTGTATACACAAGTAGTAAAAGTGAGCTGTAAATACCGTCTCCCATCCAACTACTGATCCTAATTACCGGTATTATGACAGGTAGCACTCAAACAGATTATCCCAGGCGTCTGTTACAATGAACTGATGCCCAAATAGTGTTTTCTTTGAAACAAATCAACAATATATTTATTTCAGTCACTCTTTCTAGGACTAGTGAGTGAGTGAGTTTGGTTAACGCTGCTTTTACCAGTATTCCAGTTATATCGCGGCGTGTCAGCTTAATGTGGGAGGAAAGCCCGAAGTGATGCAGGTCTCAGACGTTTACCACTTCGGTGAAACCCACGAGCACGGGTATGGTGCTGACAAACCTAGAAACATAATCGGGCCGAACCGGGATTCGAACCAACAATCATAGGTTTCTGGCGTGCCCATGGGACGCAACTCTGCACAGCGAATCGCGGCGCCTTAGACGACTGGGCCACCCCTTTCTGGGACTAAAGTCAGCAAGCCAGATCTATGAAACCTACCTGGAGCTTGCGGCCTGACACTGCAGACAAACAAGCAGTAAGTAATAATGTACAGCCTCAGGTCCCAACAAACACACTACATGTTCCATGGGTAGACTGCCTCTCAAAGGATTTACTTACTCTAAGTAGTGTGGGTGTGGTAGGGTGGTAGGTGTCTGGCGAGGAGTATCAGTTGATCACACAAGAGTAACACTTATCAGCAAACCTCTCTGTTTTTTAAGTTTGTTTAACAACTAGTTGTAGGCGTATTGGAGGGAAGAGTGAGCAAAGACAAGGGGAATGTGAGGACAAGATGATTGACGCTGTGATGATTGACAGTGACGATTGACACTGTTATGATTGACAGTGACAGTTGACAATGACAATAGACACTGTTACGATTGACAGTAATGATTGATAGTGACAATAGACACTGTTATGATTGACAGTGACAATTGACAATGACAATAGACACTGTTACGATTGACAGTGACAATAGACACTGTTTCGATTGAGTGATGATTGATAGTGACAATAGACACTGTTACGATTGACAGTGACAATGTTACAATTGACAGTAATGATTGATAGTGACAATAGACACTGTTACGATTGACAGTGACAATAGACACTGTTATGATTGACAGTGATGATTGATAGTGACAATAGACACTGTCATGATTGACAGTGACAATAGACACTGTTATGATTGATAGTGATGATTGATAGTGACAATAGACACTGTTACGATTGACAGTGACAATTGACAATGACAATAGACACTGTTATGATTGTCACTGACAATTGACGGTGACAATTGACACCTATGATAGACAGTGATGATTGACAATGACAATGTTATGATTGACACTTATGATTGACAGTGACGATTGACACAAGGATGATTGCAAGTAAAGATGCATAACAAGGATTTCAACAAGAAACTGGACCTGTGGAAGTACGCCACCTTGACTGTGGCTGTTCCACTCAGTGAGAACCATGACAATGTTTGGATTCAAAGGTAATAGTTTTGTCATCCTTCCTTCAATGCCTACAGAACTAACCTATCTTACATCCTCCAGCAACAACCGACAATGGGGGAATGCCGTACACGGCAGGACACACTTCTCCTCCTTGAAAGGCATATTATCTTACCAGGATACTCAAAACTGATTGTCACATCAAGTGTATAGTAAACTTTTAGTTACATCAGTACGCGCAATTATAGTCATGGTGAATGTAGTCGTCCGTCAATGCCTGTATCAATAGATATGTACCTGCATTTATTAGATTAGTCAGTGTGATAAATCATGCAGGAAACAGCGCTGTACAGAAAATATATCACAAAAAAACAAACTATCTGGAGTGATATTCATCAGTAGCACGAAAGGTTCAGAAATAATAACTTTCTGGGTGTAAATTCTTTTCAAAAGAGTGAGTGAGTATGGATTTACGCTATTTTTAGCAATATTCCAGCAATATCACGGCCGGGGGACACCAGAAATTGGCTTCACACATTGTAGCCACATCGGAATCGAACCCGGAATCTTAATAATCATGCCATTAACGTCAGAAGTATAAATCGAATATCTATCACTAAGATAAGTCTGCCAAATGGCAGATGCTGTGTCATGTCAGACCTTCATTGGTTTGGCTGACAAGCTCACAGCAACTATTATTATTTCCTTCGTGTTGCCGCTATGATTGTGTTCTGCAGACTGGTGCTAGATACTATTTGTTACGATTGTGTTGCCGCAAGAGTAAAGCAGTTGGCATTACATGGTATCCATCTGCCACTGCACTGAGATCAAAGATGGGATTGAGCAAAGAAAGCTATATAATGCCATAGTTAGATTACTGGAAGAGTGAGCGAGTGATTTTTGGTCTAAAACCTCTTTGGCCAGTGTATCAGTTCAATAATGGACGTCAGCTTGATGTGGCCTAACACCTGCAGATCCAAAGATCCTGCCCTTGGTGATGTATTAAAGACCATGTTCAACAAATATCCCCATTAATCATAAAAGCATCCCAACCCTCTAACCCCATTCTAAAAATCTGGATCTGTGCTTGTAAAATGATGCAGACAAGCCAAGTAACAATCTGGACAAATCTGGTATTGACCCAGGGGTCCAGAAACTGTCATATGCGCCAGACATGTCCGATTGGGAATCTCAAACGTCCGGTTTAAAATATTGCTTACCGGACATTTAAATTTTTCTGTCCGGACATTTTTAAAAGTATTGTCCGGACATTCTTAAATTTTGACCGGACATGATCAACAGCTAGGACTGAGCAGTTTCTGTCTGCAGTTGTAACACAATGAAGATTATCTACACTGACAAGCTTTGTTTGTTTTGATTGCTGTAAATACATCGTACCTACATGATAGTCCAAGCGGACAAATCACTGTAATAGGCAATAAGTATTCAGATATATAGAACAATTAACAGTCTGGAGACATTAGTGGATTCACACAGGTAACAATTACCTGTCCAGGGACACTAGTGGATTCACACAGGTAACAATTACCTGTCCAGGGCCATTAGTGGATTCACACAGGTAACAATTACCTGTCCAGGTACACTAGTGGATTCACACAGATAACAATTACCTGTCCAAGGCCATTAGTGGATTCACACAGGTAACAAGGCTGCTGAAGTAGTCAAGTTTCTGGGACTGACAACACATCAAACACACAAAGTTTGGAGAAATCGGTTCAGGAATCACAATGCTTACCACGCAATGAAGAGGATAACATATCTTTTTCATTTTACCCTTTTTTTCATTGGTCCCAGTGACAGCAGTCCCCAAACAAGGCCTTGACATCATGCACTATTGGCCAGGAGATAAACAAGCCTGAGCTTCATACAGAGTGCACACTGACGTCACTCCTTAAGATATAAGGGCCTTTACAACTGGGGTCCCAGGACATCCAGATGTCCATGTTATCAGTCAGTAGGCTGTAGTAGACTGACATATGCATGACAACTGCAGAAACACATCCTCTGAGATTTTCAGTCACCATCTGATCTTTCGGAAGACATGATACAAAAGGTGTGTGAGGATAAAGGTGTCGTCCAAAAACAGTTTATCCTACCTAGACAAGAACAGTACATGTTCCTGAAAAACTCTGATTCTGCTCATTGCTTTCAATCTTTACATCATTTCAAATCAAATCAGATCAATCCTTCTAAGGCTCTGTACTCAGTGACTAGCTTCGATGCAACCAAATTCTATTGTAAGGTGCTAACAATTAACAATGAAGTTGCCTATAGCACCTTCTCAAAGCTAACGTCGAAACCCGATGATGACCATAATTTCAACCCACTTTTCTATTACTAATGCCCCTATGATAAGACACTTTGTTGTCTTGACAAGGTAACAATCTTACTAATATTCACTAATATGAATCTGAAATCAGATGTTCTTTATTATGTTTAATTAAGGACCTTCAGTTGGTTCCATTATTTTACACTGGTTACAAGGAAAGAACATTGAAACAAACCAATTCAGTTGAATAAATGAATTAAATGCTTTAATCACTGACACACAAATAGGGATATAACTCAACTTTCCCAACGTATCACATGACATTAAGTACTCAGAACATTGACTTCCTATCCGACATACTGTTATTTCAACAGATTCATCACCACAAACAGTAGTTACTGAAACGTAACCATGCCAACTGTTTTCAACAAAGAGGTAAACGACAACAGACTGCGCCATCTGTCACCGTGCAACCAGTGAGACGTCGGAGGGGGTGTCTATAGAATCCTAAAAAATTTATTTCAACAGAAGTTGAAAATTCGCATTCTCTTACAAATGGTAAAATCACATGTGTGAAAGACATGCTACATATCATCCATCAACAAATATTCTCTGACAATCTGAATGAACCAAATGATATTGGTGATATTCCAGAGTACAAACAGGAACATAAGAATTATATTATAAAAAAATATCGATGATGATGGTATGGCCAATGGCAGCAGTTTTTGGGGAAATATTTTCATTGAATACAAATTATTAGTTCTGTGACTCATGCCAATTTGTTCACTGGCAGAATATCTTATCTGCATTTTTATAAATTCACATGTGACAATTAGTCATATTTTCCCTATCGAGCATATACATAAGTTAATGTATATGACATGAACTACTTGTGAATGAACCAGGTCATTGATTTTGTATTACTTAGCAGCTGTCATTCAGGCACCAGGGTATTCTGTGACCCATAAGCAAGTATTCAAATTATTCTAAAGCAGAGAATATAAATGATTTATAATACACCTTTTTCATTCATCTTCATCCATCAATATATATGTTCAGGAGTAGTTGAAAATGTAAAATGTTCAGAAGACGTCGACTGACTCAGACAGTCTTTCTTCAAGTCCCTTTAACCAGATTTGTAGTTGACAAACATGAAGAAATCATTGATGTTGAAAATACATCGAATAATGGATATAAATGCAATAAACTAAAAAGTCTTCACATTACCATGATAACAGCAGGAGATTCCTAAAAAGGGTGTTTCAGTAACCATTTTGAAGAAGCCCTGAATTATCCATGCCATTTTCATCACACACATTAATGAACAAACTCGAACAAGTAATCATGAACAAACTCAAGCGAGTAATCATGTACAAACTCGAACGAGTAATCATGTACAAACTCGAACGAGTAATCATGTACAAACTCAAACGAGTAATCATGTACTAACATAGCATATTAGAAAAAAAGTGATAAAATGCAACAACATTATCCAGTCTGTTCTTTCTCTAAAAATGTAACAATCATTCCTTAATTACACACTTTCTGCTTTTCGCCATTTTCTTAAGTAGTTGACAATGCCAAGAGCTCCGCCGACGCCAAAACGAACAAAGTTGTCACTGACCAGAGGTCCTAGGGCAAAAAGTCCAGGTTCATAGACAGATTCGTATGTGAACGGGTTGATCTGAATTGGGTTGTGTTTACTGTCAATTTGCCAGTTCTGAACCACCCCCAAATGACGCCCACCATTTGGCAGAAATGACAAGTCCGACCTCGACCCAATCATGACAACAACCATTGAGGTTTCAAACGAGGAAATTGTGTCGCCTTGATCGGACTGTATCAGCACTTTCTTGTCATATTTAATTTCCACAACTTTGTGCTTGGAGTATGGCCTGTACAGTTCGGTTTCTGTTTTCCCTCGCATCATGGAGTGCACGCGGTGGTACTCAGGATACATGGACGATGGCAGCTTCCTGAAGATCAGAGACGGGTCATTGGGTCCGCGGCGGAACACATGAATTACCGGAATATTGTTCTCAGTTGCCATGAGAATAGTGTCCGCTGCACTCAGACCGGCACCAATCACCAACACAGGATCACACGATCCTATCAGCTCCCCCGACTTCATGATCTTCTCAAAGTCCGGTAGGGAGTGAACCACGTGGGGCAGGGTCTCGCCAGTAATTCCAAGACGGTTTGGAATGTCGTAAGTCCCGGTGGCCAGTATCACATAATGAGACACGAAGCAAAACTCCTCTCTTATTGTGTTGCCATTTTCAAAATCACCATCTTCAGCACTAAGTCGGTAGCCTCGAACCTCCCACAGGAAGCCATGATTCTTCTTGACGTTCTTACAACATGGTTCCACCTCCCCACTCTCGCTGTCGGCAAAGGTTCGAACCTGGAACACCTTCTGGACCGACGTCACAGTATGATAGTCATAGAAATGGCGTTGCAGACGCTTTTCCTTCACAAACTCGGAGTAATAATCTTTCACGTCTCCGACCGTGGCTCTCCCTGAGTGATTACCCATATGTAGAGATGAACACTTGCGGTTGGCCAGCCACTCTCGGAAGGGAACTGTGGGTAATTCCATCCAGTTGTTCTGACTCACCGTTTGCATGCTGCCATCCATTCGCTGAGGGATAAAAATAAACATTTTAATGATAATCATTTGGATACAATCAGAAATATTCTTGTTTTCTAGAGTTAATTCACAGAAAAAAAACCGAACTGTCATGGTAAGGAGTTCGTCAACAACTGGCTACTGCTTCGAGATTTTACATGTACCAGTACCTTCTGGAACTATGCCGCTCAAAATAAGTTAAGAACACCCAAAATTGGAAGGCTTGCAATACCCACCAGACATGACAGATTAACTAAAGTCATATGACAAAAATAGCTGTCCTTTAACTTGATTTTAGTTGTATGTTGGATGATGAGGGGTGACTATTGGTCTGGAAATCACTATTGTGATAACTATTGATATTGAAAGGAACTATTGGGATAACTATTGATATTGTAAGCAACTATTGCGATAAATATCGATAGTTTTCAGTGTATCATTTTAGATGGATTTTAGAGTTAAATTAAACCTTGGAACTGAAGTGATAACCATAACAACAAATAAAAGAAAAGTTTGAGAAATGACTGATTTGTGTTTCTTTACCCTAATAATTTAAGAAAAAGAAACTTCCACATTATCATGTGTAAATTAATACCACTCATGAGCAAAAGAAAAACAAATTTGAACAGCATTGCATATATTTTATTGAAACTGTAAAACTATGGTAAATAGTAAAAAACACGATCGAAACTATCGAGATTCCTAACTGAAATCAATACTATTGATCGGAAACCGATTTAACAATCGATTTATTGACTTTAATTGTTTACCAATAGCAATATATCGATATTTCGATTTATCGTGACACCCATACTATTGTGTTAGCCAAGTAGTCAATGCGCGTTTAAAGAATGGCCGGAGTTTGATTGCCAATATTAATAAAGCCTTTGAAACAAATTCTCCGTTGCCATGGTATTGATGCAAATGGCTGTTCTTTAACTTGATTTTAGTTCTATGTATTGATGAAGTTTGATAATTAAACCAAGTGCAAACGTACCTGCCATGATCCCCCTGCACGAGTCTTTCCTAGTACTACATGAGGTATTTCATACTGCTCTTCGTGCTTCCAGTCCAAAACAGTGGAGTTATCTGCCCCTAGATCTGCTTCAGGATGACTCAGGGCATCGAAGAGTAAGGCCACAGGGTTGGGGGATCGGCCCTCTAGACCCTCACATAAAAACTCCAGGTCCTGGAAACAGAGAATTATGGTAACACTGAATAATCAACTAGCACATGATTCCGTGATATTATATTGAAACCATAAACAAACAGAAAAAGGTCAGCCCACTAACAGCCTACTGTCTGCTGATTGGCTGAGAGTAAGGGTGGATCTAGCATTTATAAGGGAGGGATTCAAGATTTCAAAATCCCAAATCCTCTCTCAGTCAATATTACTGCCTACTACATACCACATTTGGGGATCATAGACTTGGCTGTTGTGCCCCGGATAAGGGGTGTTACACAGATGGTTGATTATAGACTGGGCTGTTGTGCGTGAATAAGGGGCATTACAAAGATGGTTGATCATAGACAGGGCTGTCGTGCCCTGGATAAGGGGCATTACAAAGATGGTTGATCATAGACTGGGCTGTCGTGCCCTGGATAAGGGGTGTTACACAGATGGTTGATCATAGATTGGGCTGTCGTGCCCCGGATAAGGGGTGTTACACATATAAGTTGACAACAGATGGGGCTGTGGTGTCCAAGACAAAGGGTGTTAACCAGATAGGTTGACAATAGACAGGGCTGTGTGCCCAAGACAAAGGGTGTTACATAGATGGCGGACTATACCTGTTCTACGAGGGAGATGTCCTTGGTATTCTGCAGCTTCTTGGTGAGGATGTCATTTGGATGAGTTGCACCGTTGAAGTAAGGCCGGTTCCCCGAGAGCATAAAGGACAAGCTGATGGCAGACGGTCCATTCCCTGAAAGAAACAAAACATCCGTCTTGGGGTGAAACGATTCATTGACCCATATTGACATTGCAATAAGTAAGCTGCAATCCCTTGCATTCATGAACGAGTCAGTCATACCAAGCCTTTTTATTCAAAAACCACACACTAAAAATTTCAGTTTTCTTGTTAATTCCAATAAACTCATCCACATGCATTAATCCTCTTTTTTACCCAACACATTCATTCTGACTTGCATTTTAAGTTTTCTTTCCCGCTGAGGCACATATCCCAACCTCTACTTTTGTTCCATTTGTACACAATGCCAATTTCTTAGCAGCCTATGTAATTTCAGCTTAAATGGGCAGAGAGAAAAAACCCAACAATGACTAAGCATGAAATGATGCAGAAACCTGAGTAAGACATGACTTGACAATTACCAAGTTGCATAACACACCAGGTACGGCCACAGCATTGCTAAGCATTGCAAGGAAACTAGAGCGATGTATATACCATGTACACAGCATTGCAAGGAAACTAGTGCAATGTATATACCATGTCCACAGCATTGCAAGGAAACTAGAGCAATGTATATACCATGTCCACAGCATTGCAAGGAAACCAGTGCAATGTATATACCATGTCCACAGCATTGCAAGGAAACTAGAGCAATGTATATACCATGTCCACAGCATTGCAAGGAAACTAGAGCAATGTATATACCATGTCCACAGCCTTGCAAGGAAACCAGTGCAATGTATATACCATGTCCACAGCATTGCAAGGAAACTAGAGCAATGTATATACCATGTACACAGCATTGCAAGGAAACTAGAGCAATGTATATACCATGTACACAGCATTGCAAGGAAACCAGTGCAATGTATATACCATGTACACAGCATTGCAAGGAAACTAGTGCAATGTATATACCATGTCCAGAGCATTGCAAGGAAACCAGTGCAATGTATATACCATGTACACAGCATTGCAAGGAAACTAGTGCAATGTATATACCATGTCCAGAGCATTGCAAGGAAACTAGAGCAATGTATATACCATGTCCACAGTATTGCAAGGAAACTAGAGCAATGTATATACCATGTACACAGCCTTGCAAGGAAACTAGTGCAATGTATATACCATGTCCACAGCATTGCAAGGAAGCGAGAGCAATGTATATACCATGTACACAGCCTTGCAAGGAAACCAGTGCAATGTATATACCATGTACACAGCATTGCAAGGAAACCAGTGCAATGTATATACCATGTCTACAGCATTTCAAGGAAACTAGTGCAATGTATATACCTGGTCCAGAGCATTGCAAGGAAACTAGAGCAATGTATATACCATGTCCACAGTATTGCAAGGAAACTAGAGCAATGTATATACCATGTACACAGCCTTGCAAGGGAACTAGTGCAATGTATATACCATGTCCAAAGCATTGCAAGGAAACCAGTGCAATGTATATACCATGTACACAGCCTTGCAAGGAAACCAGTGCAATGTATATACCATGTACACAGCCTTGCAAGGAAACTAGTGCAATGTATATACCATGTCCACAGCATTGCAAGGAAACCAGTGCAATGTATGTACCATGTCTACAGCATTGCAAGGAAACTAGTGCAATGTATATACCATGTACACAGCATTGCAAGGAAACTAGTGCAATGTATATACCATGTACACAGCCTTGCAAGGAAACTAGTGCGATGTATGTATCATGTCCACAGCATTGCAAGGAAACTAGAGCAATGTATATACCATGTACACAGCATTGCAAGGAAACTAGTGCGATGTATGTATCATGTACACAGCATAGCAAGGAAACGAGTGCAATGTATATACCATGTACACAGCCTTGCAAGGAAACTAGTGCAATGTATATACCATGTACACAGCATTGCAAGGAAACTAGAGCAATGTATATACCATGTACACAGCCTTGCAAGGTAACTAGTGCAATGTATATACCATGTACACAGCATTGCAAGGAAACCAGTGCAATGTATATACCATGTCTACAGCAGTGCAAGGAAACTAGTGCAATGTATATACCATGTCCAGAGCATTGCAAGGAAACTAGAGCAATGCATATACCATGTCCACAGTATTGCAAGGAAACTAGAGCAATGTATATACCATGTACACAGCCTTGCAAGGAAACTAGTGCAATGTATATACCATGTCCACAGCATTGCAAGGAAACGAGAGCAATGTATATACCATGTACACAGCCTTGCAAGGAAACCAGTGCAATGTATATACCATGTACACAGCATTGCAAGGAAACCAGTGCAATGTATGTACCATGTCCACAGCATTGCAAGGAAACTAGTGCAATGTATATACCATGTACACAGCATTGCAAGGAAACTAGTGCAATGTATATACCATGCACACAGCATTGCAAACTAGTGCAATGTATATACCATGTACACAGCATTGCAAGGAAACTAGAGCAATGTATATACCATGCACACAGCATTGCAAGGAAACTAGTGCAATGTATATACCATGTACACAGCATGCAAGGTAACTAGTGCAATGTATGTACCATGTCCAGAGCATTGCAAGGAAACTAGTGCAATGCATATACCATGTACACAGCATTGCAAACTAGTGCAATGTATATACCATGTACACAGCCTTGCAAGGAAACTAGTGCAATGTATATACCATGTACACAGCATTGCAAACTAGTGCAATGTATATACCATGTACACAGCCTTGCAAGGAAACTAGTGCAATGTATATACCATGTACACAGCATTGCAAGGAAACTAGTGTAATAATTATAATGCAAGGCACCAATTTTTTATATCAGTCTTGACAAGTATCTCTTAGATAATCAAGCAAACTGTCTTTCATGATGTAACGTCAGTAGTTTCTGAGGAAGGTTGTCCCCTTTGCAGACAGCCTGCACTAAGTTGAAAGCATGGAGCAAGGACCATAACTATGTAAAGAAATAATTTATGGCACCAATTATCAAACTTAGTCTTGACAAGTATCTTAGATACGCATGCTAACTGCCATTGCTGTAACTTCAGCATTTTTCTGAGAAAACTTGTCCCCAATGCACACACTATGCACGTAGTTGAAAAGCACAGAACAAGGGCCGTAACTCTGTAAAACATGAATTTCACACACACACACCTCTGCCCCACAAGATAAAAATAACACTGACTTCCATATAAGGCGGTCTTTCATTTATTTATTCCTATCTCATATGACTAAGCATATTTTTGTATAGCATTTTTCAACTACCCAGGCTGAATGAACAAGCAGCATTCTTGATGACTCAGTACAAACACACTTAAATGTACATCCAACCCTATAGATCCCCTGTGGTTTCTATCATGACAAAGGCCTATTTGATATGGCAGTTATTTCACCTGGCAGACCACACGTGTTGACTGTGGACACGTGCTACCAAACATACACTACAGCTGTAAAACATGGGTTCCACTAGGTGGGTTTTATCAATGCTGATGTCTTTTTATAAGTCAGGACCAGCTGACTGGTTAAGCGAAGCATTTCTTCTTATCTTATCAAATCCAGACATCATACTTGCCTTGTCATATTTCAGAACACTGCAAACAAACACATAATAATCATATGCTGATTACTGGCCCCAGCATGTAATTCTCTTTTCAGCTTTTTCAATGGGGTTTATTTTTACATGGACAAAGAAAGTTGGTACATTTAAATTTCTTCATTCTTATACTGCTGAGTCAGAATGACTTGCAGCGGCAGGATTACTCAGCATTCCACAGCCACTTGAAAGGTCGTTAAACACACATCTGTGTCAATCACACATCACCCATACCTTTGTCATGTAATTAAACACGTCTGTGTCAATCACATATCCCCAGTGCTTCCACACTGGTGATGGACGTCTCAAACTTTACTTCTCTAATATTGTAGTCTTTACACCATGGCAAGGTAACACTTTCTTCTATCATATTTATGGTTGGTTAGTGAAAAGAAAAGATAAAAAGATATTAAAAAAAAGAAGAGAAGAGATTTGCTGATCTCAAAGTTTTTTATTTGGCAGGTTTAGGTCAGTCCATTCAGTTTGGTAAATATTAATGCAAAATCTAGGATGTTTACAGGCATTTATCAACAATTCAAAACTGAGTTTCATTGGAACCAGGGAACCAAGGACCCTGAGAACCAGAGAACCAAGGCACCAGAGACCCAGGGAACTAAAGAACCAGAGAACCTAGGAACCAGAGACCCAGGGAACTAAAGAACCAGAGAAGCAGGGGACTAAGGAACCAGAGAACCTAGGAAACAGAGACCCGGGAACCAAGGAACCAGAGAACCTAGGAAACAGAGACCCGGGAACCAAGGAACCAGAGAGCCGGGGAACCAAAGAACCAGGAAGTCAAAGAGAACCTAGGAACCGGAGACCAAGGGAACTAAAGAACCAGAGAAGCAGGTGACCAAGGAACCAGAGAACCTAGGAACCAGGGAAGTAAAGAACCAGAGAACCAGGGTACCAAGGAACAAGTGAACCTAGAAAACAGAGACCCTGGGGACCAAGGAACCAGAGAGCCGTGGAACCAAAGAACCAGAGACCCAGGAAGTAAAAAACCAGAGAACCTAGGAACCAGAGAAACTAGGAACCAGAGAACTAGGGAGCCAAAGAACCAGAGGACCAAGGAACCATAGACCCAGGGAGCCAAAGAACCAGAGAACCAGGGGACCAAGGAACCAGAGAACCTAGGAAACAGAGACCCGGGAACCTAGGAACCAGAGAACCTAGGAAACAGAGACCCGGGAACCAAGGAACCAGAGAGCCGGGGAACCAAAGAACCAGGAAGTCAAAGAGAACCTAGGAACCGGAGACCAAGGGAACTAAAGAACCAGAGAAGCAGGTGACCAAGGAACCAGAGAACCTAGGAACCAGGGAAGTAAAGAACCAGAGAACCAGGGTACCAAGGAACAAGTGAACCTAGAAAACAGAGACCCTGGGGACCAAGGAACCAGAGAGCCGTGGAACCAAAGAACCAGAGACCCAGGAAGTAAAAAACCAGAGAACCTAGGAACCAGAGAAACTAGGAACCAGAGAACTAGGGAGCCAAAGAACCAGAGGACCAAGGAACCATAGACCCAGGGAGCCAAAGAACCAGAGAACCAGGGGACCAAGGAACCAGAGAACCTAGGAAACAGAGACCAAGGAACCAAAGAACCAGAAGACCAAGGAACAAGGGAACCTAGGAAACAGAGACCCAGTGCGTGCGTGCGTGCGTGCGTGCGTGCGTGCGTGCATTGCTCCATTTATAGTGCTCGCCCAATGAGATACCATGCTGCAGTTTAACATGAATACCCCACTCAGACACAGTATACTGACTCAGAGCAGACTTAATGCCAATCGCCAGACAGGTTAACAACAAGTACTGTCTTTTAACGTCTCTTGGCATGACGCGGCCAGGCATCGAACCCCGGACCTCCCGCTCTCCGGGCAGACTCTCTTCCTGCCTATCGGAAGATTGTTGAGTGAGTCATAGTTCCAGACGAGCGGAGTGCTGCTGATATATATATAGCTGATACAAACTGCTGAATAATCTGTCCATCAACCAACCAGTCTATCAGCAGTGGCAACTGAACACTATGTTTGAACTGCACATTTTATAAAGTTAACATGCGAAGCATTCCCTAGACTATGGAAGTGGGAATATGCTTTCTCAGTTGCCATAGGAACCCTAATTGCAGCGTAATTTTCCAATTTATTACCACAACACATGGTAGAAGTTTTCTTTCATGTTCTTTCGCAGTCCTCTTAAATTCCAAGTTGAAAAAAACATATTATTTTTGTTCCTTTACTACAGACAGGTCCAACATCTCCTAGCCCTGATGAAGATACAGGTTACAATTAATCTTCAGCAACTCATGTTTGTCGTATGAGAAAATGAACAGGATTGGTTGATCAGGCTCGCTGACTTGGTTGACATCGTCATCACAATCCATTGATGATCATGATGTCAATCACTGGATTGTCTGGTCTAGACTATTATTTACAGACAGTAATACAGCTGGAATATTGCTGAGTATGACAACAAACAAACAAACAAACAAACAGTTCCTAAACTGCCAACAGGTACACCTTTGCAGCATTGGCTCTTACATAAAACCAATCAAAACTGAAACTGTAGCAATGATCTGCCTGGTTCCAACAAGACTACAATGAATACACATGCGAACAGATCTAAAATAGTTTTACTGAAGCTGACATGTTCCCCCAGAGAGGAAACACTACACCCATTGTAACATACTGTTCATTCAGTGAAATCAGTCATCCACGCTTATAGGAGATAAACAGTAACTTAACACTGGTAGCTCCCGCCCCACTTGTGCAGCGGCATGTCAGGGGGTACTTTCTGTGTCACATGGCAAACAGTGATCTGTTTATTGCATCATAAAGCTCAGTGTACGTAGCAGCTATCTGCCTTTTATATTATCTCCGGTGTCAGCAGGCCATGTTATACAGGCTATATTACCCCTCAGGTGTCATCGGTTGTACTATCCATGATATTTTTATGTTAGGTGTTGGCTGGTTACACTAGGTGTTACAGGCTATACTATCCCAGGCTATATTATCCCATGCCAGGTGTTACAGGCTATACTATCCAAGGCCATATTATCCCATGCCAGGCATTACAGGCTATACTATCCCAGGCCATATTATCCCATGCCAGGTGTTACAGGCTATACTATCCCAGGCCATATTATTCTATGCCAGGTGGTCCAGGCTATACTATCCTAGGCCTTATTATCCCATGCCAGGTGGTCCAGGCTATACTATCCTAGGCCATATTATCCCATGCCAGGTGGTCCAGGCTATACTATCCTAGGCCATATTATCCCATGCCAGGTGGTCCAGGCTATACTATCCTAGGCCTTATTATCCCATGCCAGGTGGTCCAGGCTATACTATCCTAGGCCATATTATCCCATGCCAGGTGGTCCAGGCTACACTATCCTAGGCCATATTATCCCATGCCAGGTGTTACAGGCTATACTATCCCAGGCCATATTATCCCATGCCAGGTGTTACAGGCTATACTATCCCAGGCCATATTATCCCATGCCAGGTGTTACAGGCTATACTATCCCAGGCCATATTATCCCATGCCAGGTGTTACAGGCTATACTATCCCAGGCCATATTATCCCATACCAGGTGGTCTAGGCTATACTATCCCAGGCCATATTATCCCATGCCATGTGGTCCAGGCTATACTAGCCCAGGCCATATTATCCCATGCCAGGTGGTCCAGGCTATACTAGCCTAGGCCATATTATACCATGCCAGGTGGTCCAGGCTATACTTTCCTAGGCCATATTATCCCATGACAGGTGTTACAGGCTATACTATCCCAGGCCATATTATACCATGCCAGGTGTTACAGGCTATACTATCCCAGGCCATATCATCCCATGCCAGGTGCTACAGGCTATTCTATCCCAGGCCATATTATCACATGCCAGGTGGTCTAGGCTATACTATTGCAGGCCATAATATCCAATGCCAGGTTCAGCAGGCAAAGGGTTAAATCGACCTACTGAAGTGGAAATGTCATTAGTCTGATTTATTGGCAATAAACTTCACCTATCACGTGTGCCATGTTAAAAATGTCCATTGATAGGCAACTAAATCTGACATAAATCCAAAGTTAACATATAACTGTCATAAAATGTCAGAGTGAGTGAGTGAGTTGGGTTTAACGCCGTTTTTAACAGTATTCCAGTTATATCACGGCGTGTCAGCTTAATGTGGAAGGAAAGTCCGAAGTGATGCAGGTCTCAGACGTTTACCACTTCGGTGAAACCCACAAGCACGGGTATGGTGCTGACAAACCTAGAAACATAATCAGGGCGAACCGGGATTCGAACCCACAGTCATAGGTTTCTGGCGTGCCTAAGGGACGCAACTTTGCACCGCGCTTGCGGCGCCTTAGACGACTGGGCCACCCGTGCCCCCTAAAATGTCAGAAGGCACTTCTGGCATTTTACTAATATTTCATTGGTTAAGAATCCACCTTCTCACATAATTTACAAATGTAAAATAAAACTAACCTAAATTATCTTTTTTTCTTTTCCACCTTGTCTGTTCAGGGAGAAACATTAAAGCGAAAAGAGCAACCAAACCTTATACTTGTTATTTTAACAAATGTAACAAAAATAATATTTTTTTCATAAAAATCTTTTTCCGAAAATGATTGAAAAATAGATTGTCCTCAGGTTGGACCCAATAAAATATCTTTCCCTGAGCACTGGGCATGTGAGATGTCTTGAAAAATAAACGTTGTGAGTCCCCAAATGGCCACCTCCTTTCAACATGATGAAATATATTAATCAGTACATTGTGTTTTGAAGCACCAACAAAAAAACAGGCCAAAAATGTCCAGGACTCCCCATCTTAAACTAAAAGCTTGTTCCCCATTAAACACCTAAAAAGAAAAACGTAATAAAAACGACCCCTGACCTGTAATCTTCAAAGCAACAAAGCTCCAACCTATTTCATAAGAAAGTCAATGAAAAGGTCCCTGTAGGTCAGCTAGGGTTCACCATCAGCTCATTTATTATTGCCTTGCATGGACTGGAAATCGAAACAATTTGAAATCAATACATACCGACAATGACGACATCCGTGTGGACAGCCCCACTGACACAGCAAGGCGTGGACGAGGTCATCTTGGTTCACGACTACCCACAATGCATCAGCAGAAGCAGCAGCAGCAGCAGCACCTCACCACTCAGCACCACCACTGAGGCCCCAACGACAGCTGAAACAATCCAAACTGGCATAAGCTATTGGTGAATGTCCTAATGAGCTCTGCACAAGCGAATCAAACATAACAAGCAATGTAGATCCAATAACCTCACCCGCCTTAATTTGAGCTACAACTTCAATGGGTTTTTTATAGTGGCACTCAGTGTTAGTCATGAAAAAACAAAGCACATATGAAACATTTATCAAACACAGTAAGTTTACAGTAGTTTTCCAACATAGCTACAGTGTTACAAAAATATTTAAAAAGACATACGGAAACTAGGTGTTTGTAAAAACAGATGCCAAACTAGATTGGAATTTTTGGGTTCAATCATAGTTTACTTGACTTCCTCAAGAAGTTGACATCCATAAATCACCTGATGAAGGAGTAAGTATATACTCTGCAACGTTGTGTTCCTCATGATAAAGAAGTTGACATCCATAAATCACCTGATGAAGGAGTAAGTATATACTCTGCAACGTTGTGTTCCTCATGATAAAGAAGTTGACATCCATAAATCACCTGATGAAGGAGTAAGTATATACTCCGCAACGTTGTGTTCCTCATGATAAAGAAGTTGACATCCATAAATCACCTGATGAAGGAGTAAGTATATACTCCACAATGATGTGTTCCTCATGATTAAGAAGTTGACATCCATAATTCACCTGATGAAGGAGTAAGTATATACTCCACAATTATGTGTTCCTCATGATAAAGAAGTTGACATCCATAATTCACCTGATGAAGGAGTAAGTATATACTCCACAATGATGTGTTCCTCATGATAAAGAAGTTGACATCCATAATTCACCTGATGAAGGAGTAAGTATATACTCCACAATGATGTGTTCCTCATGATTAAGAAGTTGACATCCATAAATCACCTGATGAAGGAGTAAGTATATACTCCACAATGATGTGTTCCTCATGATTAAGAAGTTGACATCCATAATTCACCTGATGAAGGAGTAAGTATATACTCCACAATGATGTGTTCCTCATGATAAAGAAGTTGACATCCATAATTCACCTGATGAAGGAGTAAGTATATACTCCACAATGATGTGTTCCTCATGATTAAGAAGTTGACATCCATAATTCACCTGATGAAGGAGTAAGTATATACTCCACAATGATGTGTTCCTCATGATAAAGAAGTTGACATCCATAATTCACCTGATGAAGGAGTAAGTATATACTCCACAATGATGTGTTCCTCATGATAAAGAAGTTGACATCCATAATTCACCTGATGAAGGAGTAAGTATATACTCCGCAATGTTGTGTTCCTCATGATTAAGAAGTTGACATCCATAATTTACCTGATGAAGGAGTAAGTATATACTCCACAATGATGTGTTCCTCATGATAAAGAAGTTGACATCCATAAATCACCTGATGAATGAGTAAGTATATACTCCGCAACGTTGTCTTCCTCATAATATAGAAGTTGACATCCATAAATTCTCTTCACTATCATTGCTGTTCTATACACACACCACTTGTAACTTGTAACATAGATTGTTTGACTAAATTACTGAGATGTCTTTCCTGCATACCATATTCAACGTAATAAGCGCCCAGGGCGCTCTCAAAATTAGAAATGGGGGGGCTCTTATTAGAATATTATTTTGGTGAAAAAAACCCAGAGTTTAAAGATATATTTCGTGGTTTATGCTGACAGCCTGAAATGTTTATATAAGACAGATATATTTTTCCAGAGTTTAACTGCCCATAAGGTGCATATAACACATGAGTGTGTATTAAATGCGATAAATAAGCTTTGTGTACATTGATCAATCAGAAGGGGTGCTAATTGGGATTGTTCACAGCCAATATATTAGCAAATATCGCCATGGGCGCTAATTAGAGCAGCACGCTTATTACATCGAATACGGTACTATACAAGTGTATTGAAATTAACAAAGTATGTGAGACAGATTTGTTTGCTCATAGCGAGTTCTCAAGTCGTAAATAACAGACTCGAGTTTTGCTGAAACCGACACAGCCTTGAGTACCTCAGTAGTCGTTGGAGCTCTGTTTGGGACTTAGATAAGTATGGTTGACAGATATGAATGTATGGTACATAAACCTCATTTCATACAAAGATATGTTTAGATAGTTTTTCCTCTGTAGTGTCAGTGCTGTGGACACCAATGCCATTGTTATATGGACACGGTGACCCATGAATAACATTACTGACCAATATCCACAGTAGAATGGAGAAGCATTCCAATGTGTAGCAATAAATCTGGATCAGTTGGAGATGACATATCTTCTGCCCATGGGGTCATGGATATTGGTGACATTATGGATTATTCTCAATGAGCATCATATGTCTGCTTCATGGTGATTGGCTACTTACTGATAATTGCTCCTTTGTTATTTTAAGAGGCCGAGCAACATGAAGTAATATCAACATGTTTGTCTTGTCTGTTTGTTGTTTAAGGCCACATTCAGCATGTATACATGTATATGACGGCTGTCTGTATGTTATCGAGTCTGGACCAGACAGTCCAGTTATCCATATTGTGAACAACACTCACGTCATCGGGTACATAAAAAACAAGTCACCTCTTACTTTGGGCACAGACTGCTAGGGACAAATGAGCATAGGTTGCTAGGGACCAATGAGCAAAGGCTGCTAGGGACCAATGAGCATAGGCTGCTAGGGACCAATGAACATAGGTTGCTAGGGACCAATAAACATAGGTTGCTAGGGACCAATGAGCATAGGTTGCTAGGGACCAATGAGCATAAGGTGCTAGGGACCAATAAGCATAGGTTGCTAGGGACCAATAAGCATAGGCTGCTAGGGACCAATAAGCATAGGTTGCTAGGGACCAATAAGCATAGGCTGCTAGGGACCAATGCGCAAAGGTAGCTAGGGACCAATTAAACTATTAGAAACAGAAATCTGTATCATTTTTACCTTGTATTATTCTCTAAGTACCCATAACACATATTGTTTTCAAGGCACTATTGACATTTTATTTGAACATATTGAGAATAAGAAAACACTGAATTGTTCAGACCAAAACAATTGCATGTTTATGAATAAAGTGATGTTTGCATTCTTTTTTTAAAAACAAAATATTACTTGAAAGCATTTTGAAAATTCAATTAGACAATGAATGAATATTTTTTAATGCAAAATCTGCAATTTTACAGTTATTTGCACTGAGGAAGAATTTACCAAAATATCTTGATATCTTGAAAAAGAAACAACTGCAATACATGACGTGACCCCTATCACAGTCTGCACTATGACCAGGTGAGCTAGGTTATCACATCCAGCTGCCAATATGCTGACAAATCCCATGTAAGTTGTCTGTTGCCGTGATAACCTCGCTCACCTGAAGTAGTTGTAATCATAAACTGCGTCAACTTTGTAATAATTCATTCTTCATACCAAAGGGCAATTGCTTTACAAGGCTGTGGACTCACAGAGCTAGTCTACCCTGAACAGACCATCAGTAATCCTCCATTGTTTTCCCTCAAGTTAGTTCCCCAAGAATGCAGAGTCCCGAACCCACGATCCTGCAGATGGAATCAACATGGTAGAAACGAATGTAATAACTATAACCAATTACCCCATCTCCAGGCATCCTGGCATCCACCATAAGAGGGGTGAACATCAAGCTGTCATTCAGCTCCATCATCTTTGTAATTGGACCACCATCTGGTTGCTAAGAGTGAGTGAATAAGTTGGGTTTAACGCCGCTTTTAACAGTATTCCAGTCATATCGCGGCGTGTCAGCTTAATGTGGGAGGAAAGCCCGAAGTGATGCAGGTCTCAGACGTTTACCACTTCGGTGAAACCCACGAGCACGGGTATGGTGCTGACAAACCTAGAAACATAAATGGGGCGAACCGGGATTCGAACCCGCAATCATAGGTTTCTGGCGTGCCTAAGGGACGCAACTCTGCACAGCGAATCGCGGCGCCTTAGACGACTGGGCCACCCGTGCCCCCCCTGGGTGCTAAGAGCATTGTTTTTCGGACTGTTATTTATTCAAACATATTACCAATATGGATCGAGTGTGGTGACGATATTTGCACATATGCATTTTAGCAACACCAGATGCTGATTGGTCAGTTTGATATGACGTCAGAAGGATTCATTGTTGAAACTTAATGACTTAATCCACTGTTCATCAGACGTCACAAATTGATAAAACCATGCAGGGCTCGATTTAGCGATATACAACATGCACCAGTGCAGCCGATTATTGAAAAATGTAACCTAAGATATGTCAACATGCACATGGGCTTGACGTTATCAAACTGTGGGTACTTCAAGATAATGTACACGTTTTACAGCAATGTTTCGTAAATTAATGTGACACAGGCAGCAGGCCAGACTATGTTTCAACTTGGATAAATTACTGGGACCAAGGTGCAACTGGGTTTTGTCTAGTGCAACTGGGTTTTGTCTAGTGCAACTTGGTTTTGTCTAGTGCAACTAGGTTTTGTCTAGTGCAACTTGGTTTTGTCTAGAGCAACTAGGTTTTGTCTAGTGCAACTAGGTTTTGTCTAGTGCAACTGGGTTTTGTCTGGTGCAACTGGGTTTTGTCTAGTGCAACTGGGTTTTGTCTAGTGCAACTGGCTTTTGTCTAGTGCAACTAGGTTTGTCTAGTGCAACTTGGTTTTGTCTAGTGCACCTGGTGCAAGTTAAATCTAGTTCCTTAAATTGTGATCTGCTATAGGAACACAACTATATAGACTGACTTCAGCAATGTTTCTCTGTGGGGTTAATTTTCATACATTTCTCTTCATAGAATAAGCAGTCATCATCAAATGTCTCTCACCAATGAATGCTTTCATGTGGAGGTGTTCATTGATGATTGACTACATACATAATAAATGTAAATTAATGATGACTATCTTAATAAACATGCATGCATTCTACATAACAATTTAATTACTTAAACATCAACAGCTGTCAAAAACTTGTGGTTCACATTTCACTCCATCAGACTTAACAAATACACATATACATTCTGAATGCTTTTCCAAAACATTTACATGTTAAATGCAGTCAACAAGCCATCCGTGAAATATTCATGAGTTATGTCTGCTACATTACATGAATTTAACAAGCAGTTACTAATCACCAGGACAACATTCCAGCATAATCAATCTCTATATTGATAGTCTTCTTTCTACCTCTGCTATAAGAATACCTTCGTTTCTACTTTGAGCATGAGCTGGGGTATAAAGCTGACATACAATCAGGTTTCAGGGGTTTGGGTAGGTGTGCATTCAGGTATGAGACAATTTCACGACTTGCAAAAAGAAAATTAATATTTTCCTCATTTAGGCAATAATATTTCATATTTCCCCTCCAGGGAGTGTTTAACAGGACCAGCACAGAGTAAAAGGTTTGTACTACTCTTTTGCATTAATTACACTGCTAAATTTCTTTTTAAAAATTCCCATTCAACGATGCTTTTTACCCATTTGCCTGTCATGACCAATTAATTAATTTTTTTTAGTTTATCTGTTAATAATTAAAAAACAATTATATCAAGAATGAACAACCAAAATTACTTCAAAAAGTATCTTAATCACACTTATCTGGATACTAATAAATGCTGTTGATATTTCTCAAAGAAATATCTTACCTTAAACACAAGCGGAGTTGTGTGTCTGGAAAGACAGTCACAATATGAGGACAAATTAGCAGCAAATGACGAATTCTCTATGATAAACAGCATGTACACAACTCCCTCAGCATGCACAGGAATCCTGTGTCTGCCAATCAATGGCCGATGCCAAGCAACAAGCCCCGCCTTCAAACAATGATTGACATCAGCGACTGACCCGCCCTTCAGGCAAATGTGCTTACTCATGTTGTAAAAGTACATGTGGTATACACTGAACATTAAACATGGATAAGCCAGTCTGTTTGGGTAGGCTTCAATTAGTTTGTAGATGAGGGTTAGACTTAAGAACCAGTCACTGTAGCATGACAAGAGGAAATCTGGAAGCATTAAGAACAGCTCATTTTCACAAAATCTATTAATGTTACATAAACTATAAGTCAAAACTGAGCTGTGGACCAGATGGCTGATTTGTTTGTTTGTTTCTTGTTTAATGCCGCACTCAGGAATATTCCAGCTGTATGACAACGTCTGAACATAATGCAGCATGACCATCGATCTAGGCAATTGGGATACGATGACATGCATCAACAAAGTCTGCGAGCCTGACAACCCGATCCTGTAAGTCGCCTCTCACGACAAGCATAGTCGCCTCTTACGACAAGCATAGTCGCCTCTCATGACAAGCATAGTCGCCTCTCATGACAAGCATGGGTTCCTCAAGACCCAATTCTAACCCGGATCTTTATGGGTCACTAGATAGATGAAACTTATTGTGACCACCCATATTAAAAAATTTGAATTCATTTTATTGTTTGGTTAGTGGATGTCGTAAAGTAAGCAAATAAATGTAAATTAAATGTTAAAATTTAACAGAATAGAACTTGGTTCCACCCAATACTATGCTATAAAGTGTATTAACATGTTGATGTTACCATGTCAACAGAAGAGCATTAGTTATACTCACCCTACATGTATGAGCAAGTTTCACATCACCCACGCATGAATTCACATTCACATTCACATTCAACACACTGTGTAAATAATACAAAGTTAAAATAGTCATGTCAGTTAAAACAACAGATTCCAGTTCTAATGCTTAACCATGACTGTTTAGATCAATATAACAATGTAGCCACTGATTCTCAATGACAAGACTATAATGAGGCATGTTTAGAACAGAAAATCATTCATGACATTATAATAATGCATCCTTTCCATTTCTTTCAAAAATTGGGCCAAAAGTTTCTATCTGCAGGTAAATTTAATTATGAAGAAATAAAAGTGGCCATGTTTAAAGTCGGAATGGAATTCGATGTGCAAATTTTCAAGAGACCAGACTGGGATCATTCATACAAATTTCAACTCCATAAGCAGAACACTAGGAAAATAGGGTAATGTGAAGGTTAAAAGTCATAGCTTGATGGAAAATCAAAAGATAAACATTAAATGTTATGTCACATCCTTCCTGCATATCAAATTTCATAATGATACATGCAGAACTGGCTGAGTAGGTGGCAAAACTGACATTTTCAAGATGGCAACCATGGAGGCCATGTCTAAAGTCAGATCGGAAGTTTTAGAGACACCAAAGATGGGATCATTCATACAGTTAGTAGTTTCAGTTTTATGGGCATTGTAGCTATAGAGGAGATGTAACAAATGTAAAATTTCACAATGGACGTAAGGACAACTATTTCAGCCTTTCATATGACTTTCATAGAGCAAAATGATCCATTTTATCATGGCAATAGTCCAAGAATTTGAATCTGTGCCTGAACAGCCCTCGTATAAATTGGGTTACGCTTCATACAACAGTAATTATTCAGCCACTTCAGCAATGTTGAGTCAATCTCAAGGCCTATTGAGTCTTACAATGTCCATCTTCCAGAGCATGAAATATCAAGTTAACCAGAATACTATACTATTACTGCAGTGAACCTCACATTTAGTTCTGCTCAACGAAGAATTCTCAATGACATTCAACAACATTCAATTATTGAAGGCTATTCGATATTTCAAAGACTGTCCCAGTTCTCGGTAAAATACATTTATTCAAATGTAAACATATTCATTCAATGTTTACAACAAAATAAATAAAACCTTTTTCAAGCGTACTTTGATCCAGGAAGAAATAGCATCTAATATCTCTTGGATAACACAGAAACCAGAGACGCTGGTATTGCTGTATCATTGTTTAAACAGCGTCGGCCTTGGTGGGGTAGAATGTAAACAGGTGCAGCTCTTGGCTTCCTTCACGTCTCATGGCTTGCATATCATTATTTTCAACATGGTTACTAGCGAGTCCAAATTTACTGCCTGGGTACCCACCCCCTATTACCCGACCCTACCTGGGTACCCACTGTAGGTCTCAAGAGATAGGTAAAACATGTCTGATTGGGAATAGTTTGACCGTGAGTGAGTGAATGAGTATGGTTTTACGCCGCTTTTAGCAATATTCCAGCAATATCACGGCGGGTGACACCAGGAATGGGCTTCACACATTTTACCCATGTCGGGAATCAAACCTGGGTCTTCGGCGTGTCAAGCAAACGCCTTAACCACTAGGCTACCCAAACGCCCAGTTTGACCGTACTCCTGTCAAAATAAATTTAGATACACATATAATCCGATCTGGTCATGCATACACTGACGTTGACGGATGTTTTATCATTATGCAAACATATAAGGCCAGAAGGAATGTGTGCAAAGTCAGAAAGAAATGAGAACATTTATCACTTATAGTGTAACCATAGAGTTCTAGATAATTTGTGCCCTTAAACAATATAATCACGTGACTAACCACAGGTCCGGGTAGTCTTGTGGGTACCCGGGTCCTACTCAGTACCCACCCACCCCTGGTGCCCGAGTTAACCGTCCCAGCCCTAGTTACTAGGCCATGCTAGGCTAGTTTCTTGTTATTCTTATCACATTTCTGAGAAATGTCAGGTGTCGCATATTTACAGCGGCAATGCTGACACCTAGTCATGCACAGATCAAGGCACTCATCCAATCAGACGTCATCATTACAGCACGTGAGGCCATTTGTATTTTAACATAAGTACTGACGTGCTTATCATGATAAGGAGGGCATGCTGAAAGTGATTTTCCTGGTGATGATAGATCTGGTTGTGCTTTTCGACATGGGGTATGATGGACTGACAAAATGATCCGGTCATCATGATTCTCAAAAGCGTGACATCATTTAAAATGCTTACCTACAGGTTCTAGTCTCACGAGTTTGACAGTTTACAACATTGTGACAATTTACCAACTGTACTATTAACAAACTACCACATTTTGTTATAATGTTTAACAGAATAAATTACTAAGACCATGTGCAAATTAACAAGATGTTTATAATATCATGACTACAGTACAATAAAGGAATCCTTTCCATATTCATAAGAAATCAGTGTTTAAGAAAAAAAACAGTTTCGTTTTTCCACCCAAACAGATTCCATGGGGCATAAAGGGAAAAAAGGAGTGACAATTATATAGATGGATAACTGAAAATCAGTGATGATACCAGGTGTTCCCCAAAAGGGTAAGTGAGTGAGTGAGTATGGTTTTATGCCGCTTTTAGCAATATTCCAGCAATATCACGGCGGGGGACACCAGAAATGGGCTTCACACATTGTACCCATGTCGGGAATCGAACCCGGGTCTTCAGCGTGACGAGCACCTGCCACTCACATTCGCCACTAAAGAACATCAGTGTACAATGCTATAACTGACATGGTGTAGTTGAGGATTGACATATAGTGATTGTTCAATAACAGAGTTGAGCAGGTTTAATTGTCCTAATGAGTGACTCACCAGATACTGAGAGTTGTACAAGTTCAGGACTCGGTGGCCGTCGGAAGGTCCGTTGGAAGACTCTGAAGCTCTCTACCCAGTGCTCAACTCCTCTAGACCACCATGTAAATATAGATCACTATCTGACCAAAGGCCTCTCTTCAAGTCCCTGACCTTCCTTCTACAGCCCATCTTGACATGATCTAGTTTTCATACATGTCCTGCCTCATTTAACCAAACCTGTGGTTTATATTCAGGGACATCTGCAGTGGACATTAAGGTTGTGTATTATTCATTGTTCATTGTCTTCTTGATCACAGGTTGGCCCAAACTGGTGACCCAACTTGAATACATCCCCATCTGTGTGTGTTATAGTGAGGGGGAACCTGCTGGATTGACATAAGCAGTTATGTAGAGGGTAAGCATGCACTGGCCACTCAGTGAAGAGGTGTCCATGGTCAATGACTCCACTCAGGTCGCGGGACAGGTTAAAACTACCTCAGGTGTAACAAGTCTTCAGCACACAACAGCTGCTCTAGTTTCTGTGAGTGAGTCAGTTCAGTTTAACACTGCTTTGAACAGCATTCCAGTGATATCATGGCTAGTTGGTTTAATGTGGATGGGGTGTTGGCTTAATTTTTGGACGAAAGCCTGAACATTTATTACTTTGGGAAACCCATGAGCACTGGTACTGTGCGGACAACCTAGAAACAATAATTGGGACGAACCAGGATCATAATCCACAATCACAGGTGCCTGGCATGTTCAAGGGACATAACTCTACACAGCGAGTTGCATTAGATGACACACCACCACCCATGTAGCGGTACACGCAATGTGGGAAAGAAACGCTATTTTCTCAGAGAATTGGGTAGTCCTCTTAAGGAGTTATCTTAACACTCAATGTGATTATGTTAATTTACTTATCTGATCTGTTATCAGTGAAACAAATTTGACATTTGCAAGAATAAAACATTCCTTATTAATATGTAAGCCTAAATTAGAGGAATAATAAATTCCAACCAACCTGTGCTGTACAAATGGGAATGAACATTGGCCTTAGTCACTGAGAGCCAAGATAAATCCCTAGATGTGCAACCAGACCTCCACACAATGAGGTGAGGTGAAATGGGGTTTAACGTCGTGTCCAAGATTATTGCACTTACAAAGTGATGTGCATGCATGCGTGCGTGCGTGCGTGCGTGCGTGCGTGCGTGTGTGTGTGCGTGCGGCTGCTTGTACTAGTCCGGACTGATGCCGATTTATAGTGCTAGCTCAGTGAGATACCATGCCTCAGTTTAACATGAATACCTCACTTAGACACAGTATTTAGGCCCTTAATGCCTTGTGCCAGACAGGGTAACAACAAGTACC